TATCTTATAATAATATGACGTTATTATTAATATTGATGAATGACCGTTGACACTGACCTGAGAGGGAAGAGGACGCAGTAACGTACGAAGACGCCGAGGCCCCAGATGACGGTGAGGCGGAGGCTGATGTAGCGGAAGTTCTGGTTGGTGCGTGTGAGGAGGTTCCAGGAAGCGAGCTCCTCGGAGGAGAAGCGCTGCGTCACCTGATCGTCCACGATGCTCTCCACGCCCTTCTTGTAGAAGTAGAGGGCGTCGATCAGGGAGAACTCCGCCCCCACCAGGGACCCAGAGTTCCGCAGCGGCGCCATCTCCTCCTCCATCGAGCCGCCCCCCCGCTCAATGATCCCTGGAGAAAAACACCGGGATTAAGATTCACGACGTGTTTTTACTCTTTTATCACAAGATTTGATCCGATAAGTGTGAGTTTGTTGTCATGGTTACATGAGAACTAATAAATTAAGATGGCCGACGCTCCAGCGTCTCCACGTCCTCCTGTTTTACAAAAATGAAGCCAAAGTATCTCGGATACGAGCGCTGCCATCTTGTGGTGATGAGATCATCTACAGTCAGAGTCTGTTCAGTAGTGGAGCCATTATCAAGGCCCCGCCCCCACATGCTCTCAACCAATCCTGAGTCAGTGTCAGCTGTCAATCATGATGTTTTTATATCATCAGATCAGAAACATCAGTGAGACAATCTGCTAACATGGAGGAGGAGTCGGCCACCAGGGGGCGATCCAGGCGATTTGGCTTCACTTCACGTCGTCTTTATTTACAATCTTTGATTCCGACACTTTGAAACCAACATCTGATGTGAAACTTAGATCCTCCAAAGAGACGACGTGTCACTCTGCTGGATTTTGTAAAACCGGTGAAACCTGAACATTCATGATGTTTAATATTTAACATCGATTTATCTCCCGATCAAACTCAGTCAACTTTATTTAATCTGTCATAGACGACACATGTGACTCAGTTGAATGTGTCTGTATCCACACGCCTGTTTTCACACGTGTTTGAATCCATCACAGTTTCACATGTTCGTGTTTTAAATGATCAGTTTGTTGCAGCAGGACGACGAAAATGAGTTTCTTTCAGTTGTTTCCCTGTTTGTGATTTGAATCCTGAAGCAGCTGAACTCTGAGTCATGTGATCATGTGAGAGATCACAAGGTCGACGACCTCCAACATTTAACCCTTCAACGCTGACGGACACGAGTTCCCTCAGCCGCTTCATGTTCAAATACAAACCTGTGCTTTAATATTGAAACTGGTGTGTGTGTGTGTGTGTGTGTGTGTGTGTGTGTGTGTGTGTGTGTGTGTGTGTGTGTGTGTGTGTGTGGTTACACTTATATAATCTGCTGATGTTGCATCATCACCCTGAGACGAGCCATGTGGGTTTTTTCACGCTGCCTAACACCCCGACATCGACCAATGGGAAGCTCCCACACACACAGAGTCACATGACCTGAGTCTGCAGCCGGAGACCACGTCCTGAGTCTTCAGATACTTTTACTGATACTGATGAAAATAATCACTGCACATTACGTATATTTGTATTTGTATATATATATGAAGTGAGTGTTTCAGCTCTTAAAGGGCCAGTTCAACTAAAACACTCTGGATCGTTTGGTTTCATTTAAAAGTGTTTTGAAGTTGGACCCACAGGTTGTCAATCAAGAGGTTTGATGAGAGAAGGATCCACATGTTGTTTCTCAGCGATGGATCTGTTTCCGGACTGAGACTCAGCTTACGAGTGTGATAACGGACTCACCGTTGGGCAGAGGCACGGGGACGCTGGTCTGCTCCTGGCGTCCTCTCTGGATCCGTAACGTCGCCCACTGCAAAGACACGTGACCTCTGACATTTAGTCTGTTCACACACGTTCAGTAAAGACGAAGACGACAAAGTGTCTGAGTTTAAAAACTCGACAACAGACAGGAAGTGTTTGACGTTACCTCCAGGATTTTGACCAGGATCTGGATGTAGACGCTGGTGACGCCCAGCGAGAGGCCGAACATGGCGGGCAGCATGATGAAGAAAACCACCACGAACATCCACGCCTGGAAAACGCCCACAGCCACGCCCCAGAGGTCGTCCATCACAAAGCTGACGAGGTCACGGCTCTGCAGCTCCGAGGTCACGTCATCGTCTGAGGCGAACAGACACAGACTGAAATATAATGTATGGACTGAACAGAGTCTCCAGAGGAAGAACCCTACAGCATTTTCATCTGGCGCCACCATCAGGTCAAACTTTGAATCGTCTGAAATTCTTCATCAGCTGTTAAATCACTAAAACTTGATTTTCAGTTTAAAATCTGTTTGTTTTTCTGTTTTAATTTGATTTAATGTGAATATTTTGAAGAATTTATTCAAATTACTCAGAAACATTTTCACACGAGAAGCTAAAAAAACATGTGAACATCATTCATCCAGAAAACACAAGAATGAAATAGTACATGAGCTAAATACTGCTATGACTAAAGACAATATACAGTACTTGTACTTGTACAGATCCAGTACTGCTATAGGTAACAGCAAGAGAAGAGTACCTCCCCCAGCTCTGACTGTACTGCAGTAAAAGTACTGCAGTAAGAGTACACGAGTACATGTTGAGTTGAAAGTTGAGATGAAACAAACGAACGTGAATTAAAGTGAGTTCAGGTGAAAACAACAGAAACTTCGTCACGTGTTTTTCTTTATTTACCTTTTTTCAGACGAGACGAGAAAAACCGCTGCTCCGCTGCGAGACAAGCCACGCCCCCCGCTGCTGCGTCACACTGGCGTGCTGACGTGGGTCACTGCGCTGCGGTGACGCTCGTTAGCGGCACGTCAGGCTAACAGCTGGCTAGCAGCTAGCTGCAGGTTAGCATCGGGAACAACATGGCGGAGCCCACGGTCCGTGTTTCCGGGATCGTTCTTTCTTCTCTGATGTTTCAGCATCTGAACAGTGACGCGGACTCGGTGAGGAACACGTGACCGAGCCCGGTCTGTTCGTTTACTTCAGGTTCTGTTCGAACCGGACTTCATTCGAAAATCACCTCATTGAAAGTTCCACTGGTTCTGGCGAAGTTGACTTTGTCGTTGAAATATCTCCGAATGTATTTTACAGTGAACGATGGTCCGATGGTTGATTCGGCGAATGTTGAACTGGTGTAAATATTGTGACGTCAGTGAATAAGTGGTGGGATGACGTGAGGTGTGATGTTCTCGCTGCAGGAGGGTCTGGTCCTGGGACAGAGCAGCTTCGAGGAGCAGGTGACCATCAGTGACTCTCAGGCTGATCACATCCACATCGAGGAGATCTACAGTGAGTCTGATCAGTGGATCATTACTGTCACACGTGTACTTGTACTTCAGCAAAGTACCTCAACACTTCGTCCTCTGCTGATTAGTGACACTTTGATTTCCCGCCACAGATATTCAGAAGCACGTCAGCTGTCACAGCCCGAACAGGTGAGTCAGGTCGCTTCCTACGTCACAGCTGAACTCGCTCACTTGAATTTGAAACTGTTGAACTGTCTGTGTGAAGTTTTTACAACAGTGTGGGAGACGTGAACATGGAGACGCTGCACAAAGTCCTTGCAGACAACAAGCAGGTAAACAAAAAACCACCGGATGTTGGATGTGGATTAGAACCAGCAGCTGTCAGCGCTGATGATGTCATGCACCTGCAGGAGAGCGTGATTGGCTGGTACAGACAGCGACGGAACACAGATCAGAGGATGACGTTCAGGGAAAAGATCGTCCACGAGAACCTGAAGACGTCTCTGTCCAACCCTCACATGGTGTTTGTGCTGCTGACGCCCAGTAAACTGACGTCTCCGGGGTCGACTCACAGGACGGAGTACGCTGCCTTCATCTCCCGCAGCAGGTGAGGCCCCCCCCCCACACAACTTCTGTTGTTTTGATGCTAATTAGAGCTAAAACTGAAAATGCTAATTATTTCCTGATTAATTGATTAGAAATGAATCAGTCACATTTTACTTCATTCAATTATTTTATCCAACAAAACTAAATAAATGTTTCTTCGGCTTGAAGGACGTTCCTCAACATTCCCGTCCACGTCACTAACCTGGGTTTACTGGAGCAACTGGCGTACTGGAAGGTGCCAACTTCCTGTTCAGCAGCAGGTTATAACCTCACCATGAAGAAACACGGGTACGACCTTGAACGTAGATGCACACCTACATCACGTCCACATCACGTCTACATCACGTCCACATCACGTCTACTTCACGTACACATCACGTCCACGTCACGTCCACATCATGTCCACATCATGTCCACATCACGTCTACATCACGTCCACATCACGTCTACATCACGTCCACATCACGTCTACATCACGTCTACATCACGTCTACTTCACGTCCACATCACGTCTACATCACGTCTACATCAC